AAACGACGAGGTTTCCCTTGCGTGTCATCGATCCCCAGGTTGGCGACCCCCGTCGTAATAGGCCCTGCTAGGCCTCCCAAGATATCGCGAAGACGATGAGCGACTGGCGAAGAAGACTAAATAAGACAAGCCTTGTCTGCCGTGACCCCCGAGTTGCGATCGATCCACATCGAACACTTGCAGTCTAAGGTGAGGACGCGGTGCAGAGCCCGAGACGACGAGGCCAGATCTCTGACAACAGTCTCGACGGAGCCGACGCAATTGAGAGAACAGTCGTCGATGTAAGCATCTAACGTGACTGAACGTGGCTGTGTCAGACGATCCAGATCCAGGACTAGGTAGATGCGCAAGAAGGTGGTTGCGATGGAACACCCTGCGATAACCCCCTTGACTGCCAACCAAAGTCCACTGACACTGCCATTCATCAAAACGAAGCGTGCACACTGGTAGGCGAACACGCGCAGGCGCGAGACCTGCAGAGAGAAGCCGACGCGCCTGCACCTGTCTAAAAGCAGCTCCAGGTCAAACAATTCATAGAACTTATACATGTCCCAGAGAACGCTTGCCGAAACTTCTTGACGGGAAACCGACTCTTCAGACCTTAGAGCTCGCCTCCAAACAACATCTGAAGAAGACTTGAAGCGGCCGCGTGCAAAAAAAAAAAAAAAAAAAAAAACGGTCTCTGCCAGGCCGCCTCCCACTCTTCAGCAAAGTGACGACGTGCTCGACCCCAGTGGCGGTAAGTGCCCACGAAGAGGCCGATTGGCCTAAAGCCTCCAGAGGCCTTCGCAAGCATCGCCAATTAAACCACTCTCAGCTGAGCCGGAAAAGCCGACAACATCTCCCAAAGCTACGTGGTCCCCCAGAGCTCGGTAAACCTAAGGGCTTCGGACTTCAGGAGGCTGAGGGGATCCGAGACGACCGCCCCGTCGGAGCTGAGGGTTGTGGTGGGCTTCCAGCTCTGGGGATCTCGACTGTACTGGTGGGCCCTCTTACCTCCTTTCTCGATGTCCTCCAGGATCCACTGCCTCCAAGAAGCCCTAGACTGCATACGAGTGAATGCCGCGGCTTCAGACAGCGACCCCTCGAAATCCCCCAGAAGCTGCGCCAGGGGGAATCCTCCAGTCACCTAGAGAAAGTTCCCCACGGGGGCCAAGATAAAGCTGAACCTGATCATGAACAATAGACCGCTGCCCAAGATTCCCCAGGATCTTCCGAGGAGGTCGCTGCAGCTGTCCCACGAGGGACTGGGCAGCTGGGCGCCCATCAGGGTCACCCGCCCCCAGACGAGCAATCAGAGCACGCAACTGCACGACGAGGGAATTGACCGATTGCTGCGCCGACGGCGGGGCGGCCCTGGAGTCAATGGCGAGCGGGTCGTACCGCTCGCGCCGGGGCCTGCGACCGCGCGCGCCTAAGATTGGGATGGAGGTCTGAGTTGAATTGACCATCTCCACCTCCGACAATTTGGCCCATATCTCGTAGGCCGAGTCCAAACCATCGAAAGCCTCCCCAAGACTCCCAGACCCCGCGCGATCCAAAGTGATATCCAGAAGCTCCAGAGTGTGAGTCCAATCAGGCGGCTGGACGACGGGGCCCGCGGCGGGGTCGACGGGGGGCTTCGGAGGTTTGCGGAACCTGGGGGCCCGAAGGGTGCTGGGGGCCTTGTGGAATTCCAGACTGACAGGGATATGTGGGAACGTCGCAGCCTCCTCGATCAAAGCCACGCCTTTCACACATTTACTCAAGCCTCCAGACACCAGGAAATAATCATAGTGCTTGGTTCCACTGGGCACCGTAAGAGACCCACGATCCCCTGGGGCAGAGACGAGCGAACCGCGCAGAAGCTCGGGGGTCCCATTTTCCAAGAGGACCTCGGGAACCATGTTGAAGTCCCCCCCGATGACGAACGGCAACCCAGAGTGGCCCACGAACGACACCACGTCAGAGAGGACCGATATGTTGGCATCACTCAACTGCTCGCAATCATGCAAGTAAATGCTGGCGACTAAGAACTGTGGCTGGCCGAGCCTCTGCACGACGCCTGCCGCGCACCTGCGAGGAGAGACCTGCGAGGCGTCCAGGAAGGGGTGGAACCCGAACGCAGCTCGAACCGCTACCGCAACGCCTGCAGAAGCACCACTTTCGCCCCCAAAGCATCCAGGCTCCCACAAGATCTTCCAACCGTGTCTGAGACCCCAGGCACTGGCTTGATCGATTTCCTCAAAATTGCGAAGCTTATGCTCCTGGGTGGGAACTATATGTGCACTAGATTGCGGCAGCCGCTTACGAGCCGCCCCCCACCCCGAACCATTGAAAGTCTCCAGAATGAAACCAAACTCATTGCCAGGGAACCCGGAGGAGGAGGGGAGGACGACACTGGGCCGGTTGCGGCACAGTGAGCCTATGCCTTCAGAATGTGAAACTGCAGCTGGAACGGCGTGCGCATGGGCCTCCAGCGGCCTGGTGGGAGGACACAAAGCCCCCTTCCCTATAGGCTGGCAACGAAGACGAAGCAAAACTCGGCGACCCAATCGACCACGAAGCCCCTCCAGACCCAGCCGAAGCGCGGGACAAGGATGGCCCAGAAGACGTGGCAGCCGTCGACGAGCAGGTACTGATAGGACATGTCCCGTGAGCGCCCCCGGGACACGAAGCCCCCGACTCCCCCGCAGGGGGGGGGGGCTGTCTCCGAAGAGGGCCCCACCGGGGTAAGGCTGGGGCGGAGCCCCCTCTCGTGCCGTAGTGCAGCGCGACGACCCCGAACTGCTAGGTCCGAAACCTGGTAGCGACAGCCTCCAGCATCTCCACCCTGCGCTTCTTGTCATCAGGCGACGCCGTGGAGCCGCCGAGAAGGTTTAACAGGTCGTCGTCGTTCTTGACCACAGGAGGTCCTGCAGATGAAGCTCTCGAAACCGCACGTGACTTGCTGGCGACCTCCTCCGACTTGGAAAGATGTTCCTTGCCAGACTGCAGAGCGTTGTGCATGGCCTGCACCTTGCCCTTGAGGTCCGAAAGGTTCTGATTCGCAACTGCCATTGCGGCTTCCTGCAGGAAGGTATCCATGGCCGTGACGGTATCCTTGAACTTAGAGATGTCGACTTCCGCCTCGGGCTCCAGCTGGGGGACCACCTTGGCAAAAAAAAGCACAACAAAAAAAAAAACAGAAAAAGCAAAACAAAAAAAAAACAAAACAAAAAAAAAAACAAAAAAAAAAAAAAACATAAAAAAAATCAAAAAAAAAAGAAAAAATAATAAACAAAAAAAAAAGAAGAAAATATAAAAAAAAGAAAATAATAATTAAAACAAAATCTCGATAACGCACACGGAGCTGCTCGATCTCCGTGTTGATCTGAACTGACTTGGTTTGTAACTCCTCTCCGCGCTTACGGTGATGCTCGATGCTCTCAGTGATCTGCTTGAGCTCCTCCCCTTGGACAGCAACTGCTTCTGGACCGCCGACGCCTGAACACCCGCGTTCTGTTTGTCCAGGGCGGCCTGCTTGACCGCTGTAGCCGACGCCGACAGTGCCTGGAGAATGGCATCAGACCCTGGGAGCCCCCCCACGCCTTTGAAGTGCTTGGCGAGCGCATCGAGATACTCCTGGTGATTACTGTTGGGCGGGGGCGGCGGCATTTTGGCGGCGCCACCGTACCCCTTCTCAGCTCCCTTGCCACCTCTGTCGCCACCACGGCGACGTTTGCCCCCACCATCCAGCTGAGCGCCATCGCCACCAGAACGAGGACGGCCTTTGCTGAGAGCGGACGGGAGCGGCGAGAGGCATGCCTTGCACCACGAGAACCACGGCTTGTACTTACGGCAACCACAGGCAGGGCAAGGCGCCGCCATGGCTGCGACTGCGGGGATGAAAACGGAATGTTGGTGACGCGCACTGCCGCCGCAACAGTACACGGACAATGGGGCGCGTATGCACACGCCAGAAAGCTGCGAACCTCAGGCTGGGCAGCCACCTGAGAAGGTCCGCGGGAAGCGTCGGTCGCCACCTTGCGTGTGGGGGGTTCCACAAATATTACCTTGAACCAAAATTGCTACGGAGGGAGGAGGAGGAGGAGAAGGAGAAGGAGGAGGAGGAGGACAAGGAGGAGGAGGAGGAGGAGGAGAAGGAGGAGGAGGAGGAGGAGGAGGGGGAGGAGGAGGAGGAGGAGGAGGAGGGAGGAGGAAGTAGGGAGGGAGGGAGGGAGGAGGAGGAAGGAGGATGAGGAGGAGGAGAGGAGGAGGAGGAGGAGGAGGAGTTGGAGGAGGAGGAGAAGATCTGGCTGCGAGCTGTTTTTGGGCTGACAGCGCGCGCCTCGCCTCGACGGTCTCCTTGGATCGGCTGGCGGGCCTCGCCGCGGCTCGTCCTTGCGGCATCTCTTCCCTCCTGGCTCCTCCTGGGTTCGCTTTCCTCCGTCCTGTCTCCTCTCTTCTCCCTCCTCCTGCCGCCGGCTCCTCTGCAGCCTCCTCCTCCTCCACCACCCCCTCCCTCCCTCCATCGCAGAGCGCGTCTCGTTGGATCGCTCGGCGCCCTCTTTGTGAGCGCACCTATTGCCCTTCGGCCTCGTTGGGCTGTCGGGCGCAGCAGGAGGAGGGGGAGGAGGAGGAGGAGGAGGAGGAGGAGGAGGAGGGAGCGGAGAGGAGGATGAGGATTGGATGAAGATGATGAATGATGATGATGATGATGATGATGATGATGATGATTGATTGATGATGATGATGATGTGAATGAATGATGAGATGATGATGATGATGATTGTATAGATGATGATGATATGATGATGATGATGAATGACGAGGACGAGGAGGAGGAGGAGGAGGAGGAGGAGGAGGAGAAGGAGGCGGAGGAGTAGAAGGAGGAGGAGGAGGAGAAAGAGGAAGAGGAGGAGGAGGAGGAGGAGGAGAGGATGGAGGCCAGGGAAGACGGGATGGAAAGAGGGAGGGAGAGAGGGAGGACGGCGGGGAAGAAGGAATAGCGAAGGAGGGAGAGGGCGGGAGGGAGGGAGGGAGGGGGAGGTGGCTTCGTTGGGCGTGTGGGCCTCGCGGCCTACTCGTCAGGCCAGGACGATCAAGTACGCCGCCACGGCCGAGTCGGCGCGGGGCACCACGTAGAGCTCCGGGCTCGCGGCGCTGTCGACAGCGCAGTCGTGGGCCACCGCGCCCCCGCGGAGCGGCAGCTCGCCTCCGCCGGCCGCCTCGCCGACGCAGGGCAGGCCCGAGGCCAGCAGGCACATGAGCACCGTCCTGGAGCAGTTGACGGCGGCGGCGACGAGGACCGCCTCCTCCTCCTCCGCCTCCTCCTCCTCCTCCCAACCTCCACCCCCTCCTCCTCCTCCTCCCCCCGACCTCCGCCTCCTCCCCCTCCTCCTCCTCCTCCTCTTCTTCCTCCTCGTCCTCCTCGTCGGTCTTCCTCCTCCTCCGCCTCCTCCTCCTCTCTCCTCCTCTCCTCCTGCTCCTCTGCTACTTCCCTCCTCCTCCTCCTTCCATCCTCCTCCTCCTCCTCCTCCTCCTCGTCGTCGTCGTCGTCCTCCTCCTCCTCCTCCTCCTCCTCCTCCTCCTCCTCCTCCTCCTCCTCGTCCTCCTGCTACTACTCCTCCTCCTCCTCCTTCTCCGCCTCCTCCTCCTCCTTGTCCTCCTCCTCCTCCTCCTCCTCCGTTTCCTCCTCCATTCCTTTTTCTTATAAATAACTTCTCCCTGTCGCACCTCGAGGCAAGAATTTAGGGCGGTCCGTGCGTTTCGCCTGGGACTTCCTCACCAGTTATGACCCTGAAGCTTAAACATCGACAACAGTTTCACACATGAAGGGCGGGTGGTTTTCAAAATGTGGTTCTCGCCTTAGCGCCGCGCACATTCATTTTGAACATTTGCAAGAGCTTCACGGTTTGAAGGCGATTCCTTTTCAAAATGTGGCTCTCGCCTCAGCGCCGCCTACATTCATTTCAACAGATTACAAGAGGTTTACGGATTCCCATGATCAGCGTACCAGACGTGGTGTTTAGGAAGGATTCCTGATTGAGGATGTAACCATTACGTTTATTCGCGGTGTTGAAGTCCCAGGAATGACGTTCTGGCACGATTCAGGATCGTCTAGACGCAACAGTCAGATTGATCCCTGACGTTGGAATCCCGAGAGCGATGTTTTGGCATGCATCAGGGTCTTCAAACGGTTGTCTTCCATCGAGGCAGTTCCCTCAGTGGAAATGAACCTTGTAGAGGCCTATGAAGAGGGAGCTTGGAGGGAGGGTTGATTCCAACATCGTTGAAGCCTCTTGGGTTTACACTGGTCCTACTCCTTCTTTCTCCTCCTCCTCCTCCTCCACCTCCTCCTGCTCCTCCCCCTCCCCCTTCCCCCTCCCCCTCCCCATCCCCCTTTTCCTCCTCCTCCTCCCCCTCCCCCTCCTCCTCCTCCTCCTCCTCCTCCTCCTCCTGATCCTCCTCCTCCTCCTTCTTCTTCTCCTCCTCCTCCTCCTTTCCTGATCCTCCTGATCCTCCTGATCCTCCTGATCCTCCTGATCCTCCTCCTCCTCCTCCTCCTCCTCCTCCTGATCCTGATCCTGATCCTGATCCTGATCCTGATCCTCCTCCTCCTCCTCCTCGTCATCCCCCCTTCGCACGTGAACACCGTCCTGGATCCGACGGCGACGGCGGCGGATACAGCGGCGACGGCGGCGGCGGCGGCGGGCGCACGAGCACCGTCCTGGAGCCGTCGGGCCCCGTGCACACGCCGCTGTCCACCACGTGCCTCGCCTCCACAGGAGGAGCTTCGAGCTTCGGTAGCCGAGGTGTGCGTGTGTGTGTGTGTGTGTGTGCGTAGGTGCGTGTGTGCGCGTGCGTGTGTGCGTGTGTGCGTGTGTGTGCGTGTGTGCGTGTGTGCGTGTGTGTGTGTGTGTGTGTGTGCGTGTGTGCGTGTGTGCGTGTGTGCGTGCGTGCGTGCGTGCGTGCGTGCGTGCGTGCGTGCGTGCGTGCGTGCGTGCGTGCGTGCGTGCGTGCGGCGTGCGTGCGTGCGTGCGTGCGTGCGTGCGTGCGTGCGTGCGTGCGTGCGTGCGTGCGTGCGTGCGTGCGTGCGTGCGTGCGTGCGTGCGTGCGTGCGTGCGTGCGTGCGTGCGTGCGTGTGTGTGTGTGTGTGTGCGCGTGTGCGTGTGCGTGTGCGTGTGCGCGTGTACGTGTGCGTGTGCGTGTGTGCGTGTGTGTGTGTGTTCCCCAAGGCGATGTATGGGATGCAGGTCGTGGCGAGGCTGGCGGTAGGCGTCGGCCCTCGTCCTCGATCTGTTTTCCTTGCACCACTGAGCCGCTTGGGGTTCGATCTGAAGCCGAAGGACCGCCAGCGCTTGCTTGAGCGTCCATGCGGGAAGAGCGGGCTCCCCTGGGGCTCGACCTCGAGCCGCTCGCGCCCACGGGAAGAAAGTGCGTCCCTCCGCGCTGGGAACTGATACAGCGCAATAGGGTCAGACTCGACTGCGAGAGTAAAGTCGTCATCAGCAAGTCCTGTCCGAGCGGGCGTCGGGCACACACCTGAATGGAGTAGGATGGTTCTGGTCCTCAGAAGGGAAACGGGGAAGTGCACCGCGCCCAACTACAGACCTCCCAAGGTCGGGGCCAAGCACACAGACAGTGCCCCATCACACTGAACCCAAACGAGCACGAGAGACGTCAACGGCCCAAGGGGCAATCCCCACCAAGGGATTTTTTGGAGCGGGGAGGGGAGGGGGAAGGGAGAGAGAGGCGAGGGGAGGAGAGGAGGGGAGAGGGGACCAAAACAAGAAAACTCACCTTGGCTATCGGCCTAGAGCGGTGCTGACAGCTGCTCCCACCTCCTTCTGGTTGATCCCAAGGGCGGAAATACCTGCCACAAGACTACCTGCCATCTTTTGTGAGAAAGTCGGGAACAAAAGCGGCGCCGCCTGCCCATTGAGCACGCGATATTCGTAGAAAATCGCGGAGACAAACTCTGAGATAGGCGACCCACAGCCGACTGAAGTACATGAAGAATATCCAACAATCAGCCCTAGGATAAAGGTCATCATGTACAACACGAACTGATTCTTCCCAAAAGAGTGCCCCACCTCTGGAGCATAGATCTCAGTCTCACACATGTCTAAGAGATTCTCCGCGGTCCCTCAGGTGAGATTCTGGTAATACTTCCACAAAGCTGAGATCTTCTCATCCTTCCGCTTGGGCTCCGTGATCTTCTGCTTCTTGAAAATATTGCTCGTTATCTGGGATAGCTTGCGATTGCCCCAGGAACTGGAGAACGCTTCCTTGAACGTAGACTCCTTCCCGTCCGCCAACTCGACGATGTTCTCAAACTGCGTCTCCACCAGCATACGCTTGATGTTCGTGAGGTCCCCGTCATCAACCGTGCCGGTTACCCCTGGGAGCACGCCCCCGCTCGGGGCCGGGGCTGGGCTCGCCGCCGCGGACGTCCCTGGAGACGGCGGCGGACCCGTACCACCCGCACGCGGAGGCGCGTGGGCCACGATGCTGTTCTCCTGGAGCGCGCGGTCGATCGACTCCTGCATTGCCCTCGCCATGATCTCCCCCTGGCGGCGAACCTCGATGTCACGAAGCTCCTGCTCCCGCTGGTCCATGAATGCGGCGTGCGGCGGGTCGTGCTTGTACATCCACCTCTTGTGGCGCTCCAGACGGCGCGCCTCGTGGTTGTCCCTCGATCCTGACGAGGAGCTCGAACGGGTACGGCGGCCCCTCTGTCGGTCACGATCACGGTCACGATCCCGCTGGCCACGGTGGTCAACCCTGTCTCGGTCACGATCCTCCCGAGAGCGACCTTTTCCCCCATCGTGGAACCCGCGGCCTGCACCCCCCTTGCCCATGAGGCCAACCTTCTGCCCGTCAATCTCCGCGATGGCCTGAATCCAAGATCGGAAACTTTCTCGAGCCAAACGGACGGCGGGATGGTTGGGCAAGGAGTGCAGTAGCGCCCTCAGGAGGTACTGGGGGCACCCAAGAAGGAACAGCTCCAAAACATTCTCTTGGATATGCAACAGGGTGGCGAGGCGTCCCAGCTGCAACCGACGAGCACGGAACATACGACCAATCAGGATCCCTCGGAGGACGCCGAACGGTGTGGGTAGTGCACCGACCCAGGCAATGGTATTAGTCCGAGCCCGCTCACGAACCTCTGGCCATTGATACAGCCATGGACGGTTCACATTTTTTGGAATAACCTGCAAGCTGTAACCCACCACTCGGTACGAAAAAATCAATCCAGTCAAACGGTACCCCAGACTTTCCATCATAAGTAGATACTACACTCAAGGGCTCCTCGAAAACCCCTTGGAGATACAACGCCACACAAGAACCGCATACACCAAGACTCCCAGCTAATATATCATCAACATAGCGACTCCAGTTGATCTTTTTTTTTTTTCCGGATCCCCAGGAAACTGACATCCAGGAAGTCCAGGCGTCACGACACTTTCTCGGGCACGACCTTCTTCCGAACCTAGCTTGGCCGAAACCGCTGCAGCCGACATCGCTCCACCTATAGCCATCCCAGCCATTTCCAAAGCCACCTCGCCCATCATCACTAAGGTCTGATACGAAGCCATAGTTTAAGCCCTCCGAAGCATGGTTAGCGACAAAGCCCACCAGCCACGACCATGCTGCCTCGTATCTGCTCCGTGCTTGGCGATGAACCGTTTTCCTCTGCAAATCAGAAGACGCTCCTGGCCTCCACTCGCACGATATTTACGTGCGACATAGTCCCATGCGGTGACGATTGAGCTGGCCTTGCAGCTCTCGAGAGCTTGGTCGATGTCCACGGTCACTACGTGCAGCCCTGGGTCCATGCTGCGCTGGCAGCACATACATACAAGCGGATTCGCTGGGGCCTCCAGCGACAACAGTGTCTATGTCAGATGCTTCCTGGCACAATTAATGTCGAACATATCACGTGAAACTCCTGCTTCGCGCACAACTGAGCGGATCCCCCTCGCGGCCACTTGCCAGCCCAGCGCGTGCGGGGTCCCTGACATGTCCAGGATCCGACGCCAATGCGAGCGCCCCACCTTCTTACACGTGAGTCCCCCTTCATCCGAATAGCATTTGCTTTTAACCAACGGAAACAACAGCGGCGGAAACAACTTCCGTCCAGGACGGCCAGGTCGACGACGTGAAAACCACGGCAGGCCCAACTGAGCCCTGGCATATCCCCAGACTTCAACCTGCTTGTAGGTCAGCCCCGCACGGATGGACCAGAGCGGGTCCTCCAAAACACCCTTGAGTAGCGTCCTATTCAGATCCGTACGGTTCATAATCCACACCTTGGCGGGATCCCGATCGTCCCCAACACGGAATGTGCCAGGGGATAGGGATTCCTTCATTCGGGCTTCCCACCAGGACCAATCACTTGGCGGCGGCGCGGCACCTGCTGGGATAGTCTGGGCACGACATTCGGACCAAACCTGTCGACCCCGGCGGAAAACCCGAAAGGGGGGCCGAACGCGACGGGCCCACTCAGACCACCGAGCACTGCATTGCCGCCAAAGGGTGGCAGGTGTGCGCCACACGGGCAAGCGCCACGGCGCAACTACTGCGCGCTACGAGCGGGTCTGGCACGCTTGGCCAATCTCCTCAGGATCAGAGAACATCCAGTCGAACGTGAACTCGCGGACGCCTTTCTTCGAGTTCACCTTGTCGACTCATCGATCAGGCCGACCTTTCTGCACACGTAGCCGGCGTCGTAGCCAATCTCGAACGTTGCTAGTCCTGATCGGTCTTAATATCATCGAAATCCTCATGCATAGACGTGGCAAATCGCCCTCCACATATGCTGGTAGGACGAGCGGCGGTGCATTGAACGGTGCCAAACGATGCTGACGTAGTAAGTACTCGATTACCATGATGGCCGCCATGCGGCGAGCCCCGCCTGGAATAAAATCATTGACCAGCTCCCCTGCACGGTGCAAGAAGCCAGCAATCGTGTCCGCACTCCATGATGGGGGAAAGTTCACGCATGGGCGGTCTGATGCACAATAAGCGATAAAAGGATTGAAGAAACCTCCCTCGGAGATGCTGATCGGGCCATATCTGCGATCTTCCACCAACCTGAGCCTCTGAATGCCACGATAGACCTCGGAATACGCGCCGCGAAGCTGTCCAGGATGTTGTAATGACCGTTCCCGACGCTCACGTTCGCCATCGGACCTCTCCTTCGCGGCCTGGAACACTTGTGACGCCCAAATTGACTGTGCCTGCTTGGGCCTTCGTAGTCGTGGTGGAGGCCGACGTCGACCTGCTTCTCGCCGTGGTACCAGTAGTGTACCTTGTCGAGCCCCACGCCGCTGATATCCTTGATCACGGTTGTTGCACTCAGGATTGGCGAATTTGATGACCAGGGACTCCATCGCGATCGCCTGCGCCTCGGATGGATAGATCGCGACTGGCAGCATACACAGGGCCCCCAAGGACTTCCGCAATAAGTGATATCTGGGCCACCTCCCCTCGGGCTGATCAGGAGACATGATGGCCCTGATGTGTTCTCGAAGTCGCGCGGCCAGTCCTGGGGTGGTGACCGTGCGCGTGAGGTTCGCCTTGCCGGCGTATACTCCAGCAGCATTCCACAAGACATAGACCGATGACTCGGTTGGTAATGCCCTCTCTTCCACACAACCCTGGCACCATGACAACCATGTCTGATCAAGATTATTGATGGCTACCTGCGCATATGGTGGTAATACACGGAATACCCTGGCTGCCCACCTGGAAAACTTTGACTTTTGTAGAGCTTGGCGTAGTCGAATCACGCCCATTGCCATGAAGATATGAGAAATACTGATCATCACGCTTGGTTCTGTGACTCCATAATTCTTGCCACGAGGAAACGTGCGAGCCAGTAAGCGATGTAAACACAGCTGCAGGGCGGGAAGCCCTGCCTGGGGTACCATGGACCATGCCCCACATTCGAATTGCTGTGGCCCCTTCTGGCGAAGGCGTCTGGATAAAACGCTGAACTTTGTGTACCTCCTGCAACGCCCACCGGTAGTGTATTGTCGGTACGGGCCAACTGATGGTATCTGGGGCGATCACGGGATGCGGGGATGAGCTGGACGTAGTGTGAGCGGTATGCGCGTATGCTCGTTGAAGTTGAGGGTGCGTATAAAAAAACTAATGAAGATGGACTGGATGAGTCGTGCGACACCGTTGCTGGGAGGCCGGCTTGCCACACGTTGTATGTGTTCTCCAAGGCGATGTATGGGATGCAGGTCGTGGCATAAGAAAAAAAAAAGAAAGGTCTGGCGGTACAACAAAAAAATATAATTTAAGAAAAGAAAAACAAAAATCAAAAAGAAATAAAAATAAAAAAAACTAAAAAGCAATAAAAAAGGGGGCGTCGGCCCTCGTCCTCGATCTGTTTTCCTTGCACCACTGAGCCGCTTGGGGTTCGATCTGAAACCGAAGGACCGCCAGCGCTTTCTTGAGCGTCCATGCGAGAAGAGCAGGCTCCCCTGGGGCTCGACCTCGAGCCGCACGCGCCCACGGGAAGAAAGTGTGTGTGTGTTTGTGTTTGTGTGTTTGTGTGTTTTGTGTGTGTGTGTGTGAGTGTGTGTGTGTGTGTGTATGTGTGTGTGTGTGTGTGTGTCTGTGTCTGTGTCTGTGTGCGTGTGCGTGTGCGTGTGCGTGTGCGTGTGCGTGTGCGTGTGCGTGTGCGTGTGCGTGCGCGTGTGCGTGTGCGTGTGCGTGTGCGTGTGCGTGTGGCGTGTGCGTGTGCGTGGCCGTGTGCGTGTGGATGCGCGTGTGCGTGTGGAGTGTGCGTGTGCGTGTGCGGTGTGCGTGTGCGTGTGCGTGCGCGTGCGCAGTGCGCGTGCGCGTGCGCGTCGCGTGCGCGTGCGCGTTCGCGTGAAAGTGCGCGTGCGCGTGAAAAAAAAAAAAAAAAAAAAAAAAAAAAAAAAAAAAAAAAGTGCGCGTGCGCGTGCGCGTGCGCGTGCGCGTGCGCGTGCGCGTGCGCGTGAAAGTGCGCGTGAAAGTGCGCGTGCGCGTGAAAGTGCGCGTGCGCGTGCGCGGGCGCGGGCGCGCGTGTGCGTGTGCGTGCGTGTGTGTGTGTGTGTGTGTGTATGTGTGTGTGTGTGTGCGTGTGTGTGTGTAATATTTCGCCCTTTTTGGGGCTCCTGGGCACTCCTCGTCGTCACGGCCGGATCCTCCTTCTGAAATTCTTGCCACAGCGCCTCCCGGGAGTGCCCTGGGGGGGCGGTTTTTGACGGCGCAGAAGTGCCTCGCCTCGCGCGCGAAGTAGATGCCAGCACCCCACGGACCTGAGGGGAGGCATGAGAGCGGGACCGGATCAGGGGGTGGGGGGGGGCAGGGTTAGGTCGGGCATGTCCCCCTCC